TCAAAATGTGTCATTTAAAAGTTGCTTGTTAATTTTTAAAACTATTTTTTATATAATAAATAAAAGAAATGTGTATATAAATACTAAAGAATTTAAGAAAAATTTTATCTTTATGATCATTTCAATAACATTTGAAATATATACACTGTTAAAAATAGATTCATTTGTTTGTAATCCAAAAATATGAAAATTAAATAGAAAAAATATGGAATATATACTTAATTTTATGAATATTTTCATCAAAATTTATATATAAAAAAAAGATAATTAATATTTCAAAATTTTAATTTTTTTTATTTAATAAACATTTTATTTATAGATTATTTAGTTTTGTCGAAACTCTCAAAACAATTATTTATAATGTCCAAATACAAATTATTTGTGCAAATCTAAACAGGAATGTCTCTGAATTTCTGCAGATGCCAAAATTTCATATTTTGTCTATTATTCTACTTGAATATAGCTTAAATATTCTTGAATGCATAGTGAAAACACTACTAAAGTGTTAACAATTTCAACTATTAAAGTAATGTCAAGTATTTAAATTATCATTATACAATTAAGCGATATTTTTTAATTATCAATTTATTAAATTAAAACTAAATTAAACGTAATTTATCCAGTTAAATCACAAATAAATAAATATGTTTTTCATACATAAATATTGGATTTTTACATCAGTTCGTATTTTGACACTTTGACGTTTTGTGGACGGTGAATAGTTAAAAATTTATAGAAAAATGTGTTTCAAAAACATAGTTTACCATGAAGTAGTAGGAAATGGGTTTAATGTGAAAAATATGAACATTATTATAAATTCAATAGCACAGAAGTAGTAATTGCATGCCATTTCTGGAAATGTCAAAATACGTACCCTTTTTTTATAATAGCGGTGAAGGGTTAGCTAAAATGGCTTAACTGGGTGGGACGTTTGTTTATTTACACTTTTCACCCCTGTTTCTTTTTCTCTCTTCCTCCACCTTTCTTCCACGACATCCTTTCTCCTCACCAGACCACGAAATGCATACCCCTTTTATTTGTTTGAACTCTCCTTCTCTCTGTGTATGTACAAATGAAACATTTTGCAGTCTTTAACGCGACCAAATTGTCCTCTCTGTAGGTATATATATATATACGTGTCCGTATGTGTATACCCGCGCCTGTCAAATGTTTTGTCGTGTTTGCACTAGTCAAATGCCATTCCATTCAAAAACCGCAAACACAAACACAATGCTTTGAAAGCCCGACAAACAAAGCTCCGGTGTTTGGGAAAACGTCGAGCGGTGAGGGGAGGTAATGAAAATGCACATACTGGGAGAGAGACGGGAAAAAAAAAATAAACTAACTCTGCCTGTGTGTCTGCATGTACGAGCAATAGAGGTGACGACCGGATCACGAAATTCGTTTGAATATTGCATCGGGATTAGGAGCTGCAGTTATATGAAAGCCCTTTTCGGAATTAAATTCTCGTAAATGAGGGCGATACGAATCGAGAATGTGTTTCGCGCTTATATAACGCAAGCCGCCGCTTGTGACATAATGCACCTGTAAAAACGTGGGGGCGGCGGTTGTGGTGGCAGCGGCAATACCAAAAGGGTTTGAAGCGAATAGATTATATTTATCTGAAAGCGCTGTCAGACACGACACACATACAACACATACAAAAAAAAACGCACATAAAAACCGCACGCGTCTTGCTACTGTATACGTCCATATATATTATATAGAAAGCAGAAAAAAATCGAAGTGTGTTACCTAAAGGGTGCGTTTTCTGGGGTGCAAACGTTTGGACTTTTATCGTTTTTAATCTCGAGGCGGGCGGATGGAAAAAAAATGTGGATTCAATGTAGAGGAAACGAGGATAATGGTGGTTTCTTCTGGAATATTATAGATTCCACGCGTTTTCGCACAATTTTTTTTTCCAGAGAGCATCGAAATTCCAAATTGAAGCTCTGAATTCAATTTTGAATAACTTCCTGATATTTTTTCTTAGCTTTTGGTGAATGAACTTGTTGATTAATCGAATACATAATTTATACAGCTTTTCCTCAAACTTAATGTACTTTGCGCAAATAATTGTATTTTTGTATTATTTTAGTGAGATTACGAATTAAAAATGTGCAAAAACAATTATTATTGTATATTACTTTCCCAAGAATTGAGTTATATATGAATTATATTTGTGCAAATAATTGGCGTTTGTATATTACGAATTGACGCATTTTAATATCCCCAAATAAACACTTATAAATGATTCACTGCATTTGCGCAAATAATTAGTAATGACAGAACACACGTCATTAGATTTGCACAAATAATGCATGTTGAGTATTAACGCAGTTCAATAATCATTAAATGTAAATATTTATATTATTTAATATTACAATATAATGCTAATTGATGTATATTCAATAAATTCTATATTTTATTTTGTGCAGAATTTTTAGTCATATTTTTCATTTAATTTGCGCAAATAGCTTGTCTTATAAAGAGCGATCAATTTTACAAAATGCGAATTCAATTGTAAGCAGCAAATTGGTGAGATTTCTCATTAGATTTGCGCAAATCATTTATGTTGCATTTTACTTATAATCACTTGGCATTTTTCCTAAATATTTGTTATCAGAGTTTATTTAGTTTACAGAATTTACATTATAATAACATTTACAGTTTCAATTTTTAGTAGCATTCATTTTGGTTAAATTCTTCATTGGATTTGTGCAAATTATTTACGTATATTACGTATATATGTATATGTATATTAATAATTCGTGCATTTTGATCAATGTTGAATCTTTTTTTTTTTTTAATTATTAGTAGAATTTTAATTTCTTATTTTTATTATATTTGCGCAAATAATTTGTAACATACATTTAGACTACGATGACATTCCGCATTAAATTTGCGATAATAATTTGCACATTACAAATTGGGTCATTTTAATACACATTCGTTGCAAAGCATTTTGGTGAGATTTCTTATTAGATTTTCACAAATTATTTGTATAATCCATTTACACCATTTAACCAAAAAGTGAATCCAATAGAGCAACACATTATTAATATTCTGCACTAGATTTGCGCAAGTAATTTGTACATTTTAATATACATTCGTTGCTAAGGATGTTGGTGAGATTTTTTTTATTAAATTTGTACAAATAATTTGTGAAATCAACCATTTATAACATTTTACCTAAGTATACTCAATTGAGCGCATGCCGAATGTGCATTAGATTTGCGCAAATAATTTGCACATTACAAATTTTAATGCACATTCATTTCAAATCATTTTGATAAAATTTATTGTTAGATTTTCACAAATAATTTGTGTAACACCATTTAACCAAAAAGTGAATCCAATAAAGCAACACATTGTTAATATTTAGAGCTTTTTACCAAAAAGTGTACTCAATTGAGCGGATACGGAATGTGCACATTACAAATTGGGTTATTTTAATGCACATTCGTTGCAAAGCATTTTGATGAGATTTTTAATTAGATTTGCACAAATAATTTTTATAATCCATTTACACCATTTAACCAAAAAGTGAATCCAATAAAGCAACACATTGTTAATATTCTGCATTAGATTTGCGCAAATAATTTGCACATTTTAATGCACGTTGGTGAGATTTTTTTATTAAATTTGAACAAATAATTTGTGTAATCATTCATTTAGAGCATTTTACCAAAAAGTGTACTCAATTGACTGAATGCGGAATGTGCATTACATTTGCGCAAACCAATGCGTTTGTATATAAGGAATTGTAATAAACAAATGGCATTTGGCAACGCAATATAAATATTTATTTTCCGAGTGCGTGAAATTGCTGCACGACCAACAACAACAATAGGTAACAATAACATCAAAACCCTGCATCAACAATGATGATGATGATAATAATAATAATCAATATGCGATAAATAATCAAATTTTAATTAAATTGTTTATTTATTCTGCACCGCGCAACAATATTAAAATTCGACTGTAATAATATTACGTGCATTTCTGTGGGGAGAGAGAGAGAATGGCACAGTTCAATTATTTAGTTGCTGCTATAAAAATAACGGTTGTAATTTTCCAATGCTTTTCCAATCGTCGAATAATTCGTTTCCATTATTTATTTTCATTTGCGAAATTGATTGAAATTATCAATATCAATTTCATAATAAACAATATTGAATATGAATTAAAAAAAAACAATTTGAATGTAAATTAGTTAACTAAATCAAAATAAATCATTGTAATATACATTTTGATTTCCAATTAAGAATTTTCCAACAATTTCAAAGAAAATTAATTAATTAAAAAAATTTAATCCAACATTTGAAAACTGTCCAATATTGATCTTAAACGATTTTGAAAGTCAATTACTTTATTAATTAAGAGTGAGATTACCTTTGTAATTTTGTTAATTATTTTTATTATATTTTTTAAAAAATTGAAATTTTGTTAGTACAAATTATTAAATAAAAAAATCCAACTCAACATTGAGAACTATCACATTAAGAAGTAAAGAAAATATTGGCTTTTGAATGTCGCATGATAATTCGGCTGAGTTTTCGTGAAAGGTCTAGTAAAATTAGGTACGACCTTGAGGTTCCTGTATTTATTCATAATATCTACAAGTCGTTTACTGAAATAACCACGAAACGACGTAGTTTGAGGAAAAATTGTATGGTAGTAAATAATTATCTCTATAAAGATGATGACATAAAATGGGTAACGTCACGTCACGTTACTTATTTAGAGGGTTTGTTTTATTTTGAGAAACTTGCCTTCATTTTCTTATATATTTATACATCAAAATAAAACAAGAATTCAATATTTAGAAAAAAAAAATACGGATAGTGTTTATGCTTTGTAATTATACATATTTGTATCTGAAGTTGTTAATTAATTAATAATAACATTTATAGTAATAACTACAATTATATAAAAATAAGAAATACAAATAAATTCTATAGCAATTCCATTAATAATAATAATTTCATGCAAAAAAAAAATAGATACATTCAAATAATTGTAACTTTTAATAATTATTACAAAGAACTATGAATCATTGAGCTTTCCGGCATTTACATGTTTATAGATAAAAATGTAAATTACTGTGATTATCTTCAATTAAATTGTTTTAAGCTTTGCTCGAAACATTGCGAATTTCATCCCCTGCTTCTTGCCTCTTTTTAGAGCGAGGGACCAAATCTGGAAATATCAGTTAATGCATTACATTGAATATTCCACAAAAATAAATAACTTACAACCATATGATTCTCGTTGTGTTTCAGCATTATTGTCGATCACTGAAACGTCATATTAACTGTAATTAATTATCACTTTAAGCTTTTTGCCTTAATTACCTTCATATACGTGTGCAGGCTCTAAAATAAACAATATTTAATTATGAATTGCTTTTATGATGACCTTTTTTTTCTACATACCAACGTATCCTCCATTGTTGTCGTTCGGAATTGCATTTGGAATTAGTTCTAGAACAATAAATAAGTGAAATTAAGATAAACATTATATAAATTGCAATAATCAGAAGCAAAACTTGGCTATAGCCTAGTTTTGCTTGGTAAATGTTGAATTTCGGATTACTGTCATCAATTGCCGTTAATCTCTGTAATTTTATGATTTATTAAACAAAGTTTATTCGTTATTCATTTTATTCATTCGTTATTTTCTTCATCATCTACAAAACTGCAATTATCCATTTGAATCGTATTTATTGTAATATTTCTTATTGTCATCAAATTATCCAGTTTTTTGTTTATTAAATATAGCTTTTAAAATTATTCTCATCAATGCGTTGTTTCTTAGTGTATTGCGTTCGTCTGATTTGTTGTTCAAGACTAATTGTTTATTTTAAATTTTAAAAAATGTATTTATTTTATTATTTCATAATTTATATTTGCTAATATTCGATAACAATATATAAATAATAAAAGAAAATGAAATTGTAAAAAAATCATTTCTTAAATTAAATCAAATACTTACCATTATTAAATACAACTCTCGGCTCAAAGGCTTTCTGGAACACATAATTATTTCAATCAAAGAAAAATTTACATTTACATTTTATATTGGTTTTTGAACCATGATACTAGAAGTAATTAGAAAGTATTGAGTAATATATAAAATATTATTATTGTTGTAAATTAATTACCTTCGAATATTTGTAGAATCGTCCTAAAACATTTATTAAAAATATTATGTTTCCATTATAATTTAGATATTACTCACTTGAATATATAATCACTATTATATTAGCGAGTAAAACAGCAACCACAATGACTGCACCAATTATATAAAGTATATTTTTCGATATCAAAACATTATCCATTTCCTGTATGTCATTCGACTTGCTCATTTCGTTATCTGCTTCCTGTTTATCATTCGACTTGCTCATTTCTTTATCCGTTTCGTATATATCATTGCACATTTTGTTAAATATTCCAATTGAAATGTTTGCTTTTTTCGTAAATTTCAAATTTATCTGCTTGATACAATTGTGGGTTAAATCCAAATGTCTGACTTGATCAATATCGGTGAACATATTTAAATCAATGGAGCTAAGTAAATTGTGACTCAAATCTAGATTCTTCACTAACGGTAATGATTTCATTTCCAGCGAGGAAATCATATTATTTGATAGTATTATTTCATTCAGCATATTCATTCCCAAAAAAGATTTTTTTGATAAGTGCGTAATTTTATTGTTTTTCATATTTAATCTTTGGAACATTGAGTTTTGAAAGCTAAAGTCTGTGATTTTATTGAAGCTCACATCGAGTATCTTTATTTTTGAAATATTAACAAATATTTTTGAATGTATTGATACTAGTTTATTGCCATTTATGAACAATTCTTCTACTTCGGGAATTGAACTGTCTTCTAAATATTCTAAATAGTTAAAGCTAAAACTCAAAATGTCTGCTTTTAAACCTATAAGTGATGAAGCTTTAATCTTTTTTATATTATTTCTAAGTAAATTCAAATGGCTCACATATGATATGTCACGAAACATATCGGAAGTTATTGTTTTAATAAAATTGTCGCTTAAATGTATTTCTTTTGCTTTAGGTATCGATTTTTGTTGCAAAATCTCAATTCTATTATTATATAGTAATATACAATGGAAAGGTCCGGTTTCTTCCAACATATCTGTTGTCAATTCCTTAATATTATGATCTTGTATTTGCAATTCTGAAATGTATAATCCCTTAATTGCATGACGTATATTCTGTATATTGTTAATTCTTATCAAAACTAGCTCTGTAAATGAATAATGTTTTAAGTTTTTAAATTTGTCACTATCAATATCAGTATTTTCAAATCCAATATAAAGAAAATATTTGCACGAGGTTGAATATCCTAATTCTAATGTAGCGTTGTACCGACAAGTTATATAACAGTTTTCATTTATTTCACATTTTGTTTCTTCAGCACTTAATTTACCAAACCACAAGAATAGAAAGAAAATGAACATTTTAAAATCACAACGTTTAACTTTAAATACGTCCATTTACGAACACACTCTCACTTTGAATGAGTTTTATAATTTAAAAAAGCACTTGCGCAGAATTGACTGATAACACGTACTAATTTAGATTTAGTTTTTTTCCATCCATTTATTTTTTTATAAATATATATAACTGAAATTGCTTCACAGATGATGAAATATCTTTATTTTTGTTAATTGTCTTACATTTTCTTCGTTGTAAAATAATATTTATTTTAAATCTTTATGATATTTTTTTTATAGGTATCAAAATGTGTTTTTACTTTTATTTTTAAAATATTTTGTTTGTAATAAAATAAACTAAATAAATTCCTATTTGTGTACTAAATGCCTTCTAAAATATTTTTTTCCGAGAAATTATTCATTATAAGATATCATTTAAACTGATGATTGAATATATAGTTGGTAAAATATACTCTGCGCTTGTATTCATGTAATAAAAATGCGCGTGCATTAATGAACGCAATATTTGAATTTGCCGCCATTTGGGCAGTAAAGTGTTGGAAATCAAAAAAAAAACAATTTGACACTTTACTGCACAAAGGGCGGCAAATTCAAATCTTGCGTTAAATTTGGGACACCCTTAATAAGCATCTACGTGTTTATATAAAAATGTAAATTAACTGTGATTATCTTAAACTAAATTGTTTTAAACTTTGCTCATAATATTGCAAATTTCATCCCCTGTTTCTTGCTTCTATAAAGTGGTGACCAAATCTGGAAGTATGAGTTGATGCATTACATTGAATATTCGTCAAAAACAAATAACTTACTTCCATCTGAGTCTCGTTGTGTTTCAGATTTTATCTCGATCACTGGAACGTCATATTAACTATAATTAATTAACACATTAAGCTTTTTACCTTAATTACCTTCATAAACGTGTGCAGGCTCTAAAATAAACAATATTTAATTATGATTTGCTTTTATGATAACATTTTTTTTTCTACATACCAACGTATTCTCTATTGTTGTCCTTCGGCATTGCATTTGGAACTAGTTCTAGAACAATAAATAAGTGCAATTAAAATAAAAATTATATAAATTGCAATAATTAGAAGCAAAACTTGGCTATAAACTTGGCGTAAATGTTGAATTTCGGATTACTGTCATCAATTTTCATTAATCTCTGTAATTTTATGATTTATTAAACAAAGTTTATTCGTTACTTCATCATCTACAAAACTGCAATTATCCATTTGAATATTGTAGTATTTCTTATAGTCATCGAATGATCCAGTTTTTTGTTTATTAAAGTCAATATAGCTTCTAAAATACGTTGTTTCATAGTGTATTGCGTTCGTCTGATTTGTTGCTCAAGAGGTGTTGTTTATATAAAATTTAAAAAAAAGGAAAAAAAAAACATTTCATAAATTAAATCAAATACTTACCATTATTATATACAACTCTCGGCTCAAAAGCTTTCTGAAACACATAATTATTTCAATCAAATAAAGATTTAATTTACATTTTATATTTGGTTTTGAACCATAATTACTTAAGTAATTACTAATTTAATTACCTTCGAATATTTGGGGAATCGTCCTAAAACATTTATTAAAAATATTATGTTTCCAATATAACTTAGATATTACTCACTTGAATATATAATCACTATTATATTAGCAAGTAAAAGAGCAATCACAATGACTGGCCCAATTATATAAAGTGTATTTTTCGATATCAAAACATTATCCGTTTCCTGTATATCATTCGACTTGTTCATTTCTTTATCTGTTTTCTGTGTATCATTCGACTTGTTCATTTCTTTATTCGTTTTCTGTATATCATTCGATTTGCTCATTTCTTTATCCGTTTCGTGTATATCATTGCACATTTTGTTAAATATTCCAATTGAAAAGTTTACTTCTTTCGTAAATTTCAAATTTATCTGCTTGATACAATTGTGGGTTAAATCCAAATGTCTGACTTGATCAATATCGGTGAACATATTTAAATCAATGGAGCTAAGTAAATTGTGACTCAAATCTAGATTCTTCACTAACGGTAATGATTTCATTTCCAGCGAGGAAATCATATTATTTGATAGTATTATTTCATTCAGCATATTCATTCCCAAAAAAGATTTTTTTGATAAGTGCGTAATTTTATTGTTATCCATATTTAATCTATGGAACATTGAGTTTTGAAAGCTAAAATCTGTGATTTTATTGAAGCTCACATCGAGTATCTTTATTTTTGAAATATTAACAAATATTTTTGAATGTATTGATACCAGTTTATTGTGATTCATGAACATAATTTCTACTTCGGGAATTAAAATGTCTTCTAAATCTTCTAAGTGGTTAAAGCATAAACTTAAAGTTTTTGTTTTTAAACCTATAAGTGATGAAGCTGTAATTTTCTTTATATGATTACCACCTAAATGCAAATAGTTCACATATGATATGTCACGGAACATATCGGAAGTTATTGTTTTAATAAAATTGTCGCATAAATGTATTTCTTTTGCTTTAGGTATCGATTTTTGTTGCAAAATCTCAATTCTATTATAATATAGTAATATAATATTGAAAGGTCCGGTTTCTTCCAACATATCTGTTGTCAATTCCTTAATATTATGATGTTGTATTTGCAATTTTGAAATGTATAATCCCTTAATTGCATGACGTATATTCTGTATATTGTTAATTCTTTCCAAAAATAGCAATGAAAATGAATAATGTTTTAAGTTTTTAAATTTGTCACTATCAATATCAGTATTTTCAAATGCAATAACATTAAAATATTTGCACGAAGTTGGATATCCTAATTCTAATGTAGCGTTGTAGCTACAAGTTAGATGACATTTTCCATTAATTTCACATTTTGTTCCTTCAGCACTTAATTTACCAACCCACAAGAATAGAAAGAAAATGAACATTTTAAAATCACAACGTTTAACTTTAAATATGTCCATTTACGAACACACTCTCACTTTGAATGAGTTTTATAATTTAAAAAGCACTTGCGCAGAAATAATTGTAAGCATATTAAAGGTAAACCATAAAATAGAATTGACTGTTAACACTTATTAATTTATTTTTAGTTTTTTTCCATACAATTATTTTTTTATAATTATATATAACTGAACTTGCTTAATTAAATATGTTTAGTTTTGTTAATTGTTCTACATTTTCTTCATTGTAAAATAATATTTATTTTAAATCTTTATGATATTTTTTTTGTAGGAATAATTTGTGTGTAAAAAATTTCCTTGAAAATGAAAGGATAATGAAAATATTTATAAAAGGCTAAGCTTCATCGTAGCTGAAACAATTTAATAATAATACTGAAATTGAGACGCGAATGGAAATTAGAGCGTTGAGAGAAAAGCTCGACCGGAAATTGATATTAAGTTCAGCAGCGAAAGGTATTTAGACTAGTTTGATGAAGTATTCCGATAAAAGCCGAAACGAAAGCATCCTTCATTCATTCAGCCTTGTCCAGTCCGGAAAATTTTAATAAAGCCCAGATCCGGCTCACAAAAATTAAGCATAAACAAGTCAAGTCCCGTTCCTTTTTCGAGAGCTTTATTAAAGTAGCGAGACTTGTAACTGCGAACTACCAGAGGATTCCCCTTTCCCAAAACGAATCGACCAAAAACCTCTCCATCTCATCCGAGTGAGCATTCTTCCGTTAAGAATGTTCTCAAGTATTCAATCAATGATCGTTTCTCCTCTGTAAAAGAAAAATCCAATCGGTTTTTGTAAACAACATCTTTATGGAAAAATACGTTTCAACCAATTACTGAAAACCGATGCGCTTTTACGCAACCGTTAATTAATACCTAATACCCTCTAATTAATAATTACCGAAACGGGAAAGTTCGCAAATCGGAGCGGTTTTCGTGCATAAGCTATTCCATCGATCGCCGGATAAATCCCACAGCGAATCTGAAACTTCCCTGAAAAGTAAAATACGACAGAGAGAACGTTATGTTAATAAGCTTTGCTAATTACTGAGGACGAAAACGAGAGTGAAAAAGAAACAAAAAATATATAAAGTAAAAAACATTTCTTCTTCATTTTATTATGCGAAAGTGCTGTGCTTATTTTCCTCCTCTTCATATCTCCAAACTTCTTAATTATTTTCTGCGGCTCTTCCCGTGCTGATTTCGAGAATTAGGAGACCGAGGAAACGGGCGAATAATTTAAGCGCATTTTCGCAATCGCAAACCGCTATTTCCGGCGCCGACCGGAAGGAAAAGATCGGGGTTGGCGCTGGAGATTTTCCCACTCCGTTCCGTGAATTATGAATTTCATAAACACCAGAAGTCACTTTTTCTCCGCGATTTCCTCTTAGTGATCTTTACTGTTTTCTCGCTCTCTTTATATATCTCTTTATCCGAGGAATCATTTCCGCCGAAACCGGAAATGATCGCTCTGCGTATAATACTTCTGCAGCTGCCATAAAAAAAATCGTTCAGGGGGTAGGAAAAAAAATGTAAGTAGGTCAAGGTAGGCGCATGGGGAGGGATTAAATTTTCATCGAGGGTTGGAAATGCTCATAAAAGCATACAGAGAAAATGGGATTCGAATAGGGAAATATCTTATTAAACATTTATGTACTGCTGCAATCATAATTTACTGAACTAGGTTAATACCGTTTGATGATCTAGATCGGAGGTGTCCAATGTAAATGTCAACGATGATAGTCACAGTCACACTGGACGACTTTCATTTCAATGTATTTTCAGCCGCAATGTTTTCAATAATGTAACGAAACGATATCATTTTGGTAAGAAAATCACTTAATTGTATTTGTAATTAGTATGAAATTTTAATATATGATGAAATCATGTCATGTTGTTAGAATCTATTACATAAAATCGTAAGTCTTCAATATAAATATTTTAATAGGCAGACTTAATAAAATAATTACTAGATGACATATATAATCAATGTTTAAGAATACTTTAAAGATATTTGAAAATAACGTAAAAAACTAGTTGATTTTAAATATTTTAGAACTTAAAATACGAAAATGTGAATGATATCAGTATTATTACTGATGCTTAACAATACTTAAAGAAGAATAACTAAATGTGAAGAAGGAAATAATACTTAAAGAAAAGAAAATATGTTCAAAAATTTGAAAAAATATACTTTCCTATATTAATCAAGGTACTGATTTTTAAATATCATTAAAGAAAAGTACTGAATTTCATCAATAATAACACTGATATTGAAGAATATTTAAAGAAAAAGAAAGAAAATTGGAAAAGAAACATCAATAAATAATGATATTTGAATATACGAATAACACTGATGTTGAAGAATACTTAAAAAAAATTAAAGATATTTGAAAATTGGAAAAAAAAACCGGATGAC